TTATCCTAAACTTTTTACCATTTCATTCATTGTTTTTTCATAAATAAGGAAAAATAAAAAAATAAGGTAGTGCTTAATAACATTTAATGATTTAAATAAGGTGTTGATTAATTGGATTTGTGTTACTGAAAGTTATTAGAAAATACTGAAAATTTTACCAAAAGTCCTGATTTTAACATTTTTAGGTAGGCATCTCTGATCTTATCTCTGCTTTTTTTTCTTTCACCAGCATACGCGTGACATGCATGTGAACAGTGTCTGTTAGCACAGGACAAACATTCCTGTTCTCCTGCCTAAGGAAATATATGTTCAGTCTATGTACATTGTGATATCGCTTCGTTTACATAATGTGAAGTACTCAAACCAAACAAACAGACCAATCAAAAGTGACACATGATTTCATTTTGCACTTCCCAGTGAACAATGTATCGGAAAGAATGTAACAGCCTGTCACTGGAACAAAGACGGGGTTTACAAAACAAGCCATGAGTGAGTCCATTACCGGTTATCTGCGTATTTTTTCTACTAAAACAAATGAAAAATTACAATGACGCGTGAACACTTTCAAAAACAGTCACTTAAATAGAAAGCGAAAAAAAATATGGACAAATGGAAAAACAAAGGGATTCGGCTGTGGTCTTGTAGATACTTAATGAAAGTTCATGTAAATGTCTAGAATGTCTTTTTCAAATGATTCAATAAAAGGCTTGCGTCTTCTTTCGCAGTGTCGCCGGGTTTTAAAAATTGAAAAAATCTGCGGCACAGATTGTGTAATTTTTGTCTTTTGGCACAGGTCATCATTTTTAGTTGTTTGATGTTTGCGTAATATCCTGGGCCCGGTTTCATCAAGGCTGGATAGCACTATCCTATGGATAAAAATGGCCGCTATCCTCTGGTGGATTGCGTTATCCAGGGGATAAATCAGCTTTTTCTGAGGATAAAGTTGTCCACTCGGAACAGATGGGATAAATCTGCTATCATGCTGTTAATCAAAAATGGCGAACCTGTTTGCTTTGGGAGTAACTCCTTTGAGATTTCACAGGCGTAGAATGATAAGAAAGAGAATTTGGGAAGATGTGTGTTTGCATTTGATGTTTTGAGTGATACTGAATGAATTGATTACATAACTGACTTTATCAAAGTTGAGATCAAAGTTGACTTTAGCGGAGTCTTATATTTCGTATCTTGCAAGTATTATCCAAAAGTTTTGTTATTTTTAAAACTTTAATTTTATTGTTACTAAAGCAGCTGAAACTTTTGTTACTAAATACGAAAATTTCCGCATACTAGCAATATGGAATATTAAATGTATATATATATATATTTTTTTCAAATCATTTTTCATTAGTTTTTTTTTCTATTTAGCTGACTGATAAATTAAAATAAGGATTAAAATCGTGTTTTAATTACCTCTTTGATGTCATTGTGACATCAGTTCATTAATGGAATTCGCCAGAGAAGCGAACAAAAACACATTGCCTATTCTATGTCATACGACAACCATTAAAAGAGATATTTTGGACCTCCATATTTTCCAAATTATTGTCTGTAAAGGAGTTACACGCTCCACAAAGGACCCTCATGTCAGTGTTTAGTAACAGTAACGGCCGCTGTTACGCATGACCTCTTCTGGCTGCTACCAGCGCTCTCAAGTGGCAACGGATTCCTTGGGATAGGTTATTAAAGTTCAATCTGGAATAACATTCCAGGCATCGGTCAAAATCTGTCCAATTTGGTCCAGTTTTGTTGTAGGACATGTAGGCCATTGATTCGGCGAGTAATGGCCTACCCACATATTGTCTATGTGGTTCAAATATGGCGGTTTTGATGACCAAGGTAGCTGCTCATTCCCTTGGTTCTGTAAGTAATGTGCTATTAAAAGTGCTCTGTAAGAATCGACAATCTCACCGTGCAACCTAAAATTGTTCCTAAGTTGCCCCCTATCAAATGATAGCCAAATGGTTCCCAGATTATTTCTTTATTTGATCTGGTTCAGGTTTTCGTCGATGACTACCATTGGTGTTTTGGCACCAATGTGATATCCAATCCAAATACTGACGCTGTTAATGACCTTAGTCACTTTAGACGCGGCACACGCTTCGTCGTTGGCCTCTTCTGGATGTCTGTAAACTCTATTTTGGCTGTTGAGCGGTACAGGTGAAAGCTGACCTCAATAAAGAAAGCCACGAGTTTTCAGTGTTCAACCCAGAAACAGTCAAGGTCCCCAATTCATTAGATAAACATACAACGATGTTTTGCTGTTTACAGTGGGTTCCTTGGAGGTCGTCTGGTATATTAACCTGCTAAAACCCGTTTGGTGTTCGCTAAGGCTCTTGAAAAGTGCGTTTTGGTGGCAATTTACCCCTCATTCTGAAAGGACTGGGTGGCTTTTTTTTAGTTGCAACAGCATATCCCGAACGACAGTGGGTCCTGTGCCCTGGTGGTAAGATTTCAATACATTGGGTGTGGCCTCTGTGTAGGTACATCAGTCTGGGCATTACTCTATAAAACTGTGCAGACCGTTTCGTTTGGCATAATTATCTGTCTGGCAATGCCTGTCTTTTTAGCGCCATTCTGCCACAGATTAACAAATTCTTCTATGCAGTAGTTGCCGACATATGGATACTTTTTTGACCGAACCATGCTTTGCCAAACCCAAGCTTTGACAAGCCCAAAGGAGCACTACCCAAGTAAATCACTGCATATTACATAATGCAGCAGCACAACAGTTCAGTTAATTGGCAGCGTCACACCTGACTACACACTTCTCCAATCACATACTTTATATGAGATCGGAGTTTGTGAAAAAAGACCGCATTTTCACCTAGGCATATCTTCGGAACTGAAATATTCCACATTAAATGTCAAGTCTACATATATATATATATATATATATATATATATATATATATATATATATATATATATATATATATTACACTTTTCAAATAGACCAAAATAATGAGAATGAGTATTTATGGCACTTCCCCCGCCAAAATGAAGAGTTGTTATCCCTTTTACGTACATGTTAGGCTTGAGGTGCATGTTAACCTACTCAAAAGTTTTGAGTGGAGCAATTTATAACGTAACTATATGTACACTGAGACTGAAAATAATTTATTCGTGTTTTCCACGTAATTCTTTGCCATAATTCAGATTTTTTTATATTTATCTTATTTGGAGAGAAGAAGTGTTCAAACCCGGCATCGGCGCGGCATTTCTCCTACTCAGTCTCTGTATCATATCTACAAAGGGATCAGTTTCATCACGGTGGTCTTGATAGGGTCATCCTTGTGTACAGTGCCCCATGTTATGCACTGCCACGTCTTCTGGCATGCGTCATCGTTCCCGTACCGGTTGTTCAGGGCGCCGTAGTAGCAACTGTCCCACCACCAGCCGCCGCCGTAGTCGTAAGCGCACTTGCCACTGTCTCTGTCGTACGTGCCGAATGCTTTGCCGTTTAGTTTGCCAAATGACTCCGGGGTGTTGTACATAGAGTCTCCGGCTGTGCCGTTGTAGCCGCCGATCTGTACACATGAAAGATAGGAGACAAATATTTTAACACGAGGGAGACCCTTAAGTACTTTCTGGAAGAAGGAGGTTGAGAACAGAGTATTCATTTTCCACTCGGAAGAGAGAAATAGTCCTAACAGCAGGCCACAGTCCTACGATCAAACACTGATTCTGAAATAGATTTATTTAGGTCGAAAAGGAGGTTCTCTTGTTACTGAAAATGACTTGTTATTTACTTTCCTCTCTGTCGTTAAAAAAAAAATAAATAAAAGCAACAGACAACTAAATGTTGAAACAAGATGAAAACCAAATAATAGCGTTTCTCTGAGATATGCCATCTACAAATATTAGTTTCGTACCTTAAGTCGGAAAAGGTTAGAGGCATCTTCCAACTGGAAAGTGCTGTACTCTGCCACGTAAGTTCCCGGATGTGAGACGTAATCGAAGTACGTCATTTCAATGCGGAGTTTGTATCTCTTCTGAGACGTCAGTGCGTAAGTTTTGTTGTTGCCCAGCCAAAAGTCACCTTTCTCACTCAATCTGCCAAAGCCAAACGCGTACTCCATCCTGTAAGATATTTAAACTGGTCGGCTGCAAATTTAACAACTGAGAAAAAAACGGCTTTCTAATTGGATTTAATCATCAGTTAATGGGGGCAGGCTTGCAACGGCAATGTACACAACCATAAAAATAATAGTTATACTAATAATAACAAAAGTCTATAAAATAATAATAATAACGAAATTCGTTGAGAGGACATCCTTCCCATTACCAACATGCTAATGTATTCAACCACGGTAATCATACATGTACTAGTACTTCGATTAAATCATCATTTTAATAGTTCATTGTGAAATTTATCACTTGCGGTCTCTTTAAGAAAAAAAACTTAATTACACACACAACAATACAATAAACTAATCAGTATATAGCCACTGATTCTATACCATGTACGATTGAAGTCGACATATCCGGTCAAGCGCTGCTGTATAACGGTGGAGGGGCCATCGCACAGTGCTAAGAAGGGACCTCCCGCCCTATCTGGCCATATCTCCACCACACGACTGCCATCTGCCGGATCTTCAGAGCAATCTGTAACCATAAGTAACATTTTTGACATGCTTTCAAATTCAATATCAGGCTATTTACAAGGTCATATTTAGAATTTGCAGGACCAATTTACTGATTATGTCTCTAAATTTGCTCTATTTACAAATATTGTGAGGTGACTGGAGGGTAAGACAGGGGAAGAAGGCCACACTGTCCGTGCATTCAAATCCAGGGTGAGAGAAAGCGTATATTGGGAAGTTTTGCAACCGATATAGATAACAGAAATAACGATCTGAAAAATAGAATTAACACCCCCCCCACCCCCCACCCCCGGGAAAGCCACACCCCAAATTATTCTAAGATTCCCGAAGGACCTATGCAGATCTTCTATGGTAAGGTTATCAGTCCGGAAGGTTTCATGTTCCTAACTGTAATGGCATAAGGGTAGATAGCAGGAAAATGATGTAAATTTTAAAATCAACCACCCCAGGGACGGCTACACCCAAAACAGACGCGTGTGAAAGTGTGTATAATGATGATATGCAACCCTAAGGCGTGCCAGTATTGAAAACTATTGTGTCCAAATTAAAAAAAAAAAGATTAACTTTCACCTAGTATGTGATGTTAGCTAACACTTAAATAAATAAATAAATAAATACCCGTGTGTATAAAAGTCCCTTTTGGAAAGTCCCATCTAGTTTAAAATAGGGCAAGGGCGTAACGATATTGCACTTCTTAGTGTAAACAAAAAAATCCCCGGCCATGCAGTTTCTATCCATGTATTATTAATGCCAGATAAATATAACCCATTAACCCACTTAATCAGCGGATCGATTTTCGATCTCATACAAAAATGGGCTCGTTTATGTTGTACTTTTCGGCGTAAACAAAAAAATCCCCGTCCCGTATATAAAATAATACTTTGCCCGTGTAATGTAATACTTTTGATTATATGAGGGAATAAAATTACCTAACTATTAATACCAGGTAAATACATGCAAGTAAGCTGCTAGTCACGTCTGTTAAGATACTTCATGGTATATTACCACTTCATGGGATAAATGCTCTGATTTTACTGTCAAATCGACTTCATAGGATAAATTGCGACTTCATCTCCACATAAGATATTGCCTGCGACTTCATGGGATAATGGTGAAAAAGTACCTGTTGTTGGCCCAACGTTATGAGAGAGAACGTTTTTGAAATATAATGTTTTTGTACTGTAAATATTATCCAAAATAGGTAAACTGTACGTTTTAATTCACTTGTATGACTGAATAGGGTTTCTTTAGTGGTATTGGATGCATGTTTTGAGTAATTTTAAAATACACAGGCGTATGTAGGTGAGGATCCAGTATTTCTAAAAATCAGTACATTATGGGAGATTATGATCAGCGTGGAAGAAATAGGGGGTCCAGACCCCCTGGGTCCTCCCCTCCCAGATCCGCTTGATACATAAAACTACTGGATCAGGTANCTCTGTTGTTTCAACATTTATTCAGTGTGGGTGCTTTTTATGGTGTTTACACATATACTCTCTGGTGTACTAACTGGACACTCATAACAAAGTTAACTTAGAGGCTGATGAGTACGTATTCCACCACTGCAATTGTAGAGATGCTTTCTCCAGATGAGTATTTAATAATCTTTTTGTCTGCTGTGCACTTTAACAGGGGTCGAAACAGACAGTCCCCCACTCGCCAATGCGACTTAGAAACGTCCCGACGACTACCTGTCAGGGGTACTGGTCCGTTTTGGCAACCGCTGAAAAGTGCCGAACATCGTTGCTAAACCCATCATATATTTCACTATCAAATGGCAAAATCTGGTCAATTATCGAAGTATTTCTTGTCTCTCTCAAATCAAAGCACATGAGCGCGGCCATATTGCATTTTAACAGCAGGCCGAACATCTTTTGGCTCGAGCTTGGCTCCCTCGCGTTGCTGCAGCAAATCTCCACCAATAAAAGATCGTTTTGCGTTCAGCAGCTGTGACGTCACACCCCGGCAATGTTAAATGTCCTTTTTTTTTTTACATTTAATAAAAAAACGTGGCGATTCATTGTAGGTATGTCAAAACCTGCACCAAAAAGAAAAATAGCCCCTGATGAGGAAACAAACAAAGATAAAAAGAAAGAATATGATGCTTCTTATGAAAAACAAAAAAGAAGTAGGCAATTTTTGCCAAAGTGAAGTTGGCAGGCCTTGGTTAAAAAATACACCAACTGACATGACTTGCACTGTGTGCATAGAACATGTGGAGGCACTGAAAGGGCAGGGTGCAATACAGTCCAGAGTGTTTATTGATGGGTGCAACAGCATGAAATCTGAGAGCATCTCCCTACATGAGAAATCATAGGCTAACAGGTTAGCGCTTAGCATTGATTCTAGGTGAGAAAAACCCATACTAATTTACATATATAATAAATATAAACTTACATATAAATATAATATAAATATTAAATATAATAGTAATATTAAATTATATATAATGTTATTTAATATTAAATATAATTTTTATATAAATTTAATTATCACATGATGATTTTTATTTGTCATTGGTTATTTCTCACAACATAAAATATATTGATTAAAATATGGATATATGTAAAAGTTATATTTATTTTATAATAATTTTTTATATATCCAGAAAGTTGCAACCGGAAATGTCAAGCCCTGAACAAAGCCCTGTACAAACAGTTAAAGGAACTGACTGGAATATGTATGTGTTTAGATAATCATATAGAAATAAAAATGGATGTTAAACATGTATGGGTTTTTGTTATATATCAAGTAGCTTGAAACCACTAATTATTAACGTAAAATTTTACGGACCAGTACTTCTTAATACGGACCAGTACCTCTAAGGTCCACTGGTCCCTATTGGCCAGTCCTGCCCAAATTCTGTTTTAACCCCTACTTTAACACTTTATTAGATGTGCCTACACTAAGTACCCATGCTGTTTATAGCACAGTTTGTTTCCTTCACCTTAATTGATATCTGCAATATCTTTAATAACATAAATACCATGCTAAACTGATTATTACTTGCCTATTTTCACTTGCCTATTTTCAAATATTAAGTGAATTATTACATTTGAATAAGGCATAAAAATCACTTTTTGCACATCAAGCTGGGGGATATGTAATTCACTGAGATATGATGAGAAAGGGTTGCATTTGGTGGCGGTTGCTGGTAGACAGGTTACCAATTAATGGCTGCTTCTTTATTTCATTTGTGGGAATAAAATAATGCGACAATATGTATACATATATTCAAAACCTGTCTGGTAAGTAGATTGATGAACTGTCCACGTGGTATGTATAATATAACTACTAGAATTTCAAATTTAGGGTATCTACTTCAACCCTTATCATTTTGACAATTATGCTCTATAATTTGCACATTAGGTACAAAGGAGAAGGCACCACAAGAGCCCACTATCAGGGTTGGTGGACCTGGCAAGGAAGTTTGTAAGTCAATAGTTTCTATACTCTCAATAGCAAAAATGTCACAATGTTGTCTCCCAAGAAGATGCAGCTTTATATCTTTGATATATAAATAGAAATCTTGCATGCAGATGCTCAACCCATGACAAAATTTTGTATTCTTTTTTTAGGTCATGTAAAATCAGGACCTGAACTTCAAACTGAACCAATTGTGAAAGTGGACAGTGTCTTTGCACATCTACTAGTAGAACTGACAACGAATTGGCGGAGTTTACAGTTATTGTTCCAAACAGTGGTTTGTGTCAGCATATAAAATATATACTGGTGTCTGAAATTTGTCAGAAGAATCCTGCCATTACAGAAAAAGGTTTTTGCTTAATAACTGTCTTTTTAATAATGATAACAACTTGAACTTCAAGAGGCATCTTATTTGGATCGAGAAATCATAATTATGTTTTACCTTCTTAGTATTAAGGGGTATTTAAAAAACACAGGAAGAGGGGCTAGCATCCTTTTCTCTCGGTAGTGACCATTAGTCATTTGGAATTAGCCATCTGGAATTAATTAGTAGTTAACTTAACCCCTGGCTCCTAGTGACCAATAGTCACGTGAAAAACAACCTATATGGCCTGTCCAATAATCATCCAGTTGCGTAACTAATTAAGACAATAGACCAATAGCAACAAGCCTTAACTTCAGGCCCCTTTTTCAAATAAGAAGGGATGTCAGTTGAGACCGCAGCGACGCAGCAGTACAGAGCATCATGAAACTTTCTCGAATGTATTAATAACCAGCGAATTTTATTGCTTTGGTATATATAACCTACCTTGAACCTACAACAACCACTGACTATGAAACCTACTATCGATAATGGCACAGGACTTCGGCGCCTGGGCGGCCGCATATGAGTTAAGTACAGAGACTTTGGACGTCCTGAAAGAAGCAGGGTTTGCGAGCGTTAGGTCATGCAGACTTCTAATGGACGCGCTTATTCAGAAAACGTTCGGGAAAGCCATCCCCTTGGGTCAGATTCTGATGCTACAGGAAGCAGTTGCTGCTTTCAAAACAGGGGGAAGGAGAGAGGACGAACGCGAGCCGCTGGGCCCATCGTTCCCTGGACCATCAAACAGCGAAGAACGCCAGCAACCTCTAACAGACAACAACGTGAATCGTGACCCGGATGTGAACCTGGGCGGAAATGACGCAACCCGCAACATGGCCGCGCCCTGTAACGAGGCTGTCTCGGAGATGAATCCTACTGGCGGAGCAACGGGGGAATTAGATTTTACAAAAATCTGCCAGCTGTTGGACGAAAGGAGCCCAACTGACCCCACGGGGACCAACCATGAAGGTAAGGGCACTTTTGATCCCTTCACCACAAACAAATCTACGGCTAAACGTCACTATGACATACGAGATTTCGTAATGTTCAGACAAAACTACAACGCCAGTGAATCGTCCAACACATCGTTGCGGATAGGAGACTTCAACGTAATCCTAAACGATAGGAGACCTTCGTTAGAGACTATAACACAGGCCCAATACATGGAGGCCAGCATGAAGATTTTACAGGAGATAATTGACAAAGACAACGCTGATATGGTCACAGTTAGTAGTTACGTGGGTTACATCACAAAGATCGCCTGTATGGCCCAGACCTTCACTTGGGCGTCCCTGCTGACATACGATACGGAATACCATAAGCTCCAGGTGGCTCAGGGCTTTCAGTGGGGTACGGACAATGTCTTTTTAATGCAGCTGCTCTTAACGTCTAGACAAACGCCCTATCTTGGAATAATCCGGATATTAAGATTGTGATATGTATTGGTTTTCATTTTAAGTACTCATAAACCTTAGGAAATAGTTATGTATGAATAAAGTTTTTATAAGCCCGAATCTCTGTGTTTTTTAATTGAAATATTTCAAAGTGAAACAAAATATTTGGAAATTATGCTGTCTTGTAACTTTTGTCCATTTACATAAGATGCTGAAGAGTTAAATTCATTTTAGTAGTATCCAATTATTTTTCAGGTAGTGATGATGACAAGAATGATGGGGACGAAATTAGTGGTCTTGATGGAACTTTCCCAACTCTTCAGACTCATGAGCCAATCCCTGGAGGCAAGTTCAAGAAGTCACAAGTTGACACGTTGAAAAATAGGACATTAACACCACTATATAGGAGTCAATGTAATTCTATATCGAATAATCATATTGGTTCGTCATGAAATGAGAATGCACAGTGCGCATGCGCGTCAGTAGCATGAGGCGAGAAGCATGTGGTTCACAAGAAAATTTCTTGTGTGTATGTATTTTGACATTTTTGTCAATACATTGTGGTGTATTTTGTCGTTTTTTGACAATACATCTTTTTTCCAACATGTCGGAGAAAAATGAGATAGCGGAGAAAGACTTAAAAGAGAAACAAGTCGCTAGCAATAAGAAATCAACTAGTGCTGTTGTAAAAACCACTAGTGTTGCTGCGAAAACCGCAACTAACCAAGATTCTAAGATTCTAGAATACTTGCAAAGTATGAATGAAAAACTGATGTCTAATGATGCCAAATTAGACGTGTTATCCTCTAGGATAACGGATATTGAAGAAACTGTGAACAGGGAGGTTTTACCTGGCACGTCCTTTGACTACAACTTTGACAACGATAGGCGGTGTTCTGATGACTGAAACTTTTGATGTTAACATAAGCTTAAAAGCCATAAAACTTCAATGTTAAAGATCCCTATTAACAATGAGTCAAAAAATCATCAGAGGCCCTATTTAATGAGCATTTTCTTGGCTTCTGGTGAGCTTGGCCTAGCCGCAGCTGAGTGATCTTGCAGCAGTTAGAATATATTTGTAGATACTAGTGCTAAAAATCCAAAATTTTTGGGGTTTGAACAGCAGTAAAATCGAATATGGCTTTCATAGAGTCAACACAATCATTCATTTCCAAGTCATATGTTTGCAAACACATCACAGAATATATTTTAAATGGTTCATTTATGTTGACAGGTGTTCAAAAGATGATCCTCAGGCCAAAAACAGCAGTATCTCAGACAATGTTTCACCAGAATGATCATGATGACAGTAATGATAGTTTGACAGATGGTTTGTATTCATATTAAAATCCGTCATCATAATTTGATGAATTTGTAAATGTCTAATCTGAAGGACAACAGTTCTCCAGATACACTGATCCCTAGCAGTAAAAGGGATAAAGATTCATTATTATTATTATTATAATTATAGTAGCGGTTATTATTATTGTAAGTGTCAAAAGTCACTCAGCCAAATGGCTGGAATGACACTAGATGGAGAAAAAGCCTCTTGTATCAGATAATTGATGACAAAGTGCCCTGAAGTTTAATCTTCTTTTTTTATATAGTTTTCCAAGTGATTTCATCACCCCTCATATTAGATAATGTCAAAGGTCAAGGTTATTGTACATCATTTATAATAGGTGACAATATATTGGGAGAGCTTTCAACCATTATCATGATTATCACGTTCAGGACTTGGGGAGAGGCACCCCAGTCAGTTTAGTGGGGTAAACTTACAGCCATTTACTTTAAATTTATTATCTTGCTAGTTTTCTTTGTGGAGATAGGTGTATTTTATTGCTGTTGCTCATTTCGAGTACATTTACAACTAAAGGATCAGAAAGGCGATACCGCCTCAGAATATTGTACTACCAGCTGGAGTAAGCACGATCGTATAGACCCTCCCACAAACAAAAAAGGGACACCACCAAACAGTCTTGTGCTTCACAAGCTGTAAAAAATGCAATCAACAAGAATTCTCAAAAAATGCAAAAAAATATATATAACTAAAAATGGTATAATCAAAGTTTAGTTCATAGTAAGGTAGGTCAAAGGTCAATTTCAAGGTCACAGTAAATTTTCAGTATGACTTCCTATTCAAGTTCAATAGCAACTATGGACCTATCTCTGCTAGTTTTGGAGATAAAAGAGAACCAAAATTTGTAAACTTCAATTCATGATAAAAAGTAGGTCAAAGGTCAATTTCAAGGTCACACTTAGATTGCCAGTATGTGACTTCCTATTCAAATTCAATAGTAACTATGGGCGAATCTTTGCCAGTTTTAGAGATAAAAGGGAACCAAAATTTGCAAAGTT